CCCTGTGGTGACAGAAGACCCGGGGCCAGACCCGGCCGGCGCAAGCGCGCAGCATCGAGAATCGAAGAGGGGCCGCTCGTTAGTGTGAAGGGGACCTGGGACACACAAATAAGTGGACCCAAATAACAGGATTCCCCATATTTTCCCATATGTTCTAGGTTTTTGTCTTCCCCCCCACACTTCCCATATTTTCCCATATTCCTGGGGAATGAACGATTAACTGTGTCCGTGTATTTTTCCCCTCCTGATAATGGACTTGACAGGGTGGGGGTTCTACGGTCAGGAACGTCTGCTCAGAAAATCGCCGTCGGCGGCACCGGCAGCACGCTGTGCCGTGCGAGCATAGATAGCGTGTCGCTCCGCTCCGCGGGGCAGGAGGCTGGGAGGAGCTCGCGACGCTGACGATCGTCGGGGACTGGGAAGTGACCATGAAGGGGCCCTGGGACACACAAATAAATACACACAAATAAATAGATTCCCCATATTTTCCCATTTTTTGGAGGGGGTTGTCTTCCCCCCCACTTCTCATACACTCTCTGGGGAATCGATGATGAGTTGTGTCTGTGTGTGTCTTTTCCCCTCCTGGGGGTTCCACGGTCAGGAACGCCTGCTCAGAGGGTCGCGGCGGCGGCACAGGCAACGCGCTGTGCCGTGCAGGCAGACAGCGTGCCGCTCCGCTCCGCGGGGCGGGAGGCTGGGACGAGCTCGCGACGCTGACGGTCGGAGACCGGGAAGTGAACAGCGTGTCCTGGGACGCACAGAGACGTACTGATGCTCTATGCCCTCCTTGGAGGCGCACGTCCGACCCGAACATATGGTATGCCCCTCTTGTAGCATATCGTTCTCCGAGCGGCGTGGCCAGAAAGCGCCCGCCACGACGCATTTCTCGGCGCGGAGCGCCAAGAGTTTATGTTCATGGCGTTTGTGCCTTCTTCGAGGTAGGATCGGGCCATACCGTGGGCCTCCGTCGGCACCCGCAGAGCTCTCTCGGCGAGGCGCAGCTGCTGGCGAGCCTCCCGAAGCTGGAGCACCGCCGTGCACCCCAGACCCCCGACGTCGCGAATTTTTGTTCACAACGTCGACCCCCAGAGGTCTGGACCCCTTCCCCGGGACCAGTTTTGCATCCCGCGCCGTTTTTTGCCCGTCCCGAGGCCCGGTGAGTTGAGCAGGGAGCGACCGTCCCGGCATTCCTATAGGCCTACCACGAAATTTTCTCAGAGCCCAGAAATATTCTCAGAACAAAACCAATGTTCTTAGAAAATTGCCCCGATGTGTTAAAACAAGACACTCCCAGCCAGAAATGCTCTAAGAACACTTCGTGGAAACCAAAAGAGGTTCTCAGAGCATTGTGTGGTAGGCCTATAGGCACGCCAGGACGCTTCGCCACTGCTTGGGTGAGGGCCCCCGGTGGCCGAAAGATAGCGAAAAGCCTCCCGCCGTGACTCCCAGACCCCCGACGTCATGATTTTTTCATGACGCGACCCCCAGAGGTCCAGACCCATTCCCCGGGACCGGTTTTTCATCCCGAGTCGTTTTTTGACGCTCCCGAGGCCCGGTGAGGGCCCCCGGAGGCCGAAAATTAGGAAAAACATCCCGTCATGATTTTTTCATTACTCGAGGGGGTCTGGGGCCGTGATTTGTTTCACACCGCGAGGGGGTCTGGCACCGCCGAGCCCTGCCCGCGACCTCGACGCCCCCGGCGCCTCGCCGCCCGGGCGCGCCCACCGCTGCCGCCGCGCCGAGACCCCCCGGGGCGCCGACGCGCCCCCGCCCGGGCCGTCGAGCGCGCGGATGGGGCAGGCGGGCGGCCCGGCTTTGGGGGGGTGCTGCTCCTCTGGCTCCTCCCCCTACGCCACCTCCTCCATCCTCCATCCTCCGTCCTCCTGCCTCCGTCCTCCGTCCTCCATCCTCCATCCTCTCCGTCCTCCATCCTCCGTCCTCCATCCTCCGTCCTCTGGCCTCCAGCCTCCATCCTCCAGCCTCGGTCCTCCTCCTCCTCCGAGGGCTGAAGGCGCGCTCCGTTCGCAGGCAGGTCCAGCGGAGTGGCCTTCCTCTCTCGTCATCTCTCTCTCTCTCTCTCTCTATCTCTCGCTCTCTTGTTATTTATATGTCTCTCCCGCTCTCTCTCTCTCTCTCTCTCTCTCTCTCTATCCCTCGAGATATACATATATCCATACATATATATACATATATATACACATGTATGTATGAATATCTCTCTTGCTCGCAGTATATCGTGTTCGTTCTTTCTACAAAACATGTAAGTATATACATATACAGCATACCATATATACATGTATGTGTATATATATATATATATATATGTTCATGTATTTCTCTCTCTCTCTCCCTCTCTCCCTCTGGTTCTCTCTACCTGTATGTATGCGTACATACAAACATTACATTACATTACATTACATTACATTACATTACAATACAATACATTACATTACATTACATTACATTACATTACATTACATTACATTACATTACATCGCATTACACTACATTACATTACATTACATCGCACTACATTATATTACATTACATTACATTACATTACATTACATTACATTACATTACATCCCAGTACAGTACATTACTTTGGATTGTATCGCATTGCATTACATCACAACACCTCACAATACATTACATTGCATACATACATGCATGCATACATACACACATACATACATGCATACATGTATGCATGACTGTATGTATACATGCAGACATATATATATATACACATGCATATACCTATACATATGCATATACATATACATATACATATACATATACATATACATATACGTATACATATACATACACGTATGCATCGCCATAGACATGTACATATACATTTACATAAGCAAATTCATATTCATAGACATATACATATACATGTGCATATGGATATGCAAATGCATATATATATGTATGTAAATGTATACCTGTAGTATACATGTACATACATAAACAAATACATACATACATGCATGCATACATACAGCATGCATACAACCATACATACATACAAGCATGCATGCATGTATGCATACCGACATTTATGCATACATCAATGCATGCATGCAGAAAGACAGACAGGCAGACAGACAGACGGGCATACACACATGCATGCATCTGTATGTGTGTAAACATACATATATATATATAGAAAGATACATGTATAGATGTTTAGTTCTCTCTCCTCCTCCTCCTCCTGCCACTCCTCCTGGTGCTGATGCTCCTCCTCCTGCTAGCCTAAGAACTACGGGAAGGCGGTGTCAACCAAGACTTCTGCCCTTGCCTTCCTACTCCTCCTGCTAATCATCTTCCTCCTCGTCTTCCTCAATCCCTACATTTCTCCTCCGTGGCCAACCCCTTCCACCCCAGGCCTTCACGTGAAAAGTGAGTTTGCTCGGGATATAACGTCTGCAATTCGGATTCAGATGTGCAACGTGCTAATCCACTACGACGGCAACGGAGCCGACCAAGGTCAGCCAATGCGGATGTATCATGATGTATAGACTCAATACCCTTCTCCTTCTCCTCCTCCTCCTCCTCCTCATTATCAGCATCATCCTCATCCTGATCCTCATCATCTTCATCATCACGAGCACAATAATCATCATCATCGTCAACAACGACGACATCATCAGCACCACCATCCTCAACACCACCATCACCATCATCATAATCGTCGTCCTCCGCCATGCATTTCATCCAGCCCGCCCCTCATACGACTCCTTATCCCCGTGATCATCATAAGCATCATCATCAGCATCATCAGAAGCAGCAGTCATCACCATTATCATCATCATCATCATGGTTACCATCATCAGCAGCAACATCACCACCATCATCAACATCATCAGCATCATCAGCGACATCATCATCATCAACAGCATCAGCATCAGCATCATCTTCATCACAAGCATTATCATCATCATTATCATTTCATCTTCACCAGCATTATCATCATCATCAGCCCCAGCATCATCATCATCATCATCATCATCAGCATTATCATCATCACAAGCATTATCATCATCATCAGCCCCATCATCATCGTCGTCGACGCCAGCATAATAAACATCATTGCAATCATCATCAGCAGCAGCAGCACCATCATCATCATCGTCGTCGTCCTGACCATAATCATCACAACCACCACCACCACCACCATCATAATCATCAGGATCGTCATCGCCATCAGCATCAGCATCATCAGCGTCAGCATCATCAGCATCAGCATCAGCATCAGCATAAACACCATCAACACCATCATCACCCCCAGCATCACCGGCATCAGCATCAGCATCCTCAGCATTATCATCATCATCATCATCATCATCATCATCAGCAGCAGCATCAGCATCAGCATCATCATCATCATCAGCATCATCCTCGTCGTCACCATAATCATTAGCATCATCAGCAGAGCAGCATCATCATCAGCAGCAGCATCAACATCAGCATCATGCTCATCATCCTCATCAGCGACATCATCATCATCATCATCATCATCATCATCATCATCATCATCATCATCAGCCTCATCATCAGCAGCAGCATCAGCATCATCATCATCATCATCATCATCATCATCATCATCATCATTATCATCATCAGCATCAGCAGCATCATCATCATCATCATCATTATCATTATCATTATCAGCATCAGCATCAACATCATCGTGATCGTCGTCATCATCATAAACATCATCAGCATCATCATCATCCTCCTCATCATCAGCAGCATCACCATCACCATCAGCATCGTCATCATCATGAACCACATCATTATCAACAACATTATTATTACTAATACTATTATTATTATCAGCATCAGAATCTGGCTCTTCCTCCTCCTACTCTTCTTACTCGTCTCCCCCTCCTCCTCCTCCTCCTCCCTCTCGGCGCCTTCCTCCCCCCCTTCCAACAGGGGGCCTAACGAGGCCAGCGGCAAGCAGTTACGCCCCTACCCAGGGGCACAATGGCAGCTCGCGAATGACGGAGTCGCACATGCGGATGTAGCACATTCGGCTTCGAAAACCCGACCACCGCGACTGCGCCGCGGCGTGTGCGTGTATCAGAATACCAGGCGGGTGCCCGAGGAGGAGGAGGAGGAGGAGGAGGAGGAGGATCTGGAGGCTTCGTCACACCAGCCCTCCGACGAAGCCGGGACCAGGATCGGGAATCTCTGAGATCCGGCGGCTCCAGCGCCGCGGCCGTTCCAGAGCGGTCCGGAATGCTGTGAGAGCGTTCCAGAACGCGCTGGAACGAGTTTATCCCGGTCCGAGCCCAGCCCGCAGCCCCCATGAATCGCCCCCCCATTAATCGATGGAGGGGGGGAAAGCGAGGACCATGGCCAAGACTCAGCGCGGAAACGTGGGGGCCGATCTTGGTCGTCGTGGCTCTTGGTCGTCGTGGATGTTGATCCTCGTCGATTCGAGAGTTGGCCTCGCGAATCGGCGACGGCCGGCAGTTGACCAGGACCACGATCGGCAACGACACGATCCCGCGACATCCTGGTCATGGTCATCGTGCTGCTTCCCTCTACGTCGCCCCCTGTCTCCCCACCCCACCCCTGGACTGGACCTGGCGGGCCTGCGCGGCAGCGCGACTGGATTGTGGCCCATCGCAAAGTCCGTGATCAGGCGCCGGACAAGTCCCTGGAGACCATGCGTTTGCACGTGCAGCAGCCGACGAGACCCAATTCGGTGGCAACTCACGAGAGCCTCCCATACCATCTCGTCGGCTCCTGTGAAGCGGCGCAAATCGACGCGAGTCGACGATGATATCGACACTAAATCGACGCTAAATTGACGCTAGCCGACGCCAAATCGGCGCTATCCCAGACGGTAATCAAAGCGAATCGACGCTAGAGACGGAGTCCCACCAGCCCTCTGGGCGCAGGCGGTTTAGGGCGGTTTCTCTTCCAAGAGTGGTCCAACCCCTCCCACTCCTCCTCCTCCTCCTCCTCCTCCTCCTCCTGCTCCTCCTCCTCCTCCTCCTCCTCCTCCTCATCCTCCTCCTCCCCCTCCTCCCTGGCCTCCCCCTCCTCCCCCTCCTCCCCCTCCTCCCCCTCCTCCCCGTTCCTCCCCCTCCTCCAGGGGGCGAATCGCCCCCCTGCGATTTTCATGTGTTGTTTGTCCTTATGGTGGCTCGTGCAGGAGAGTTGTTGGCTGATGCGCGTGCTGCCTCCGACCAAACAAAACACCTGAACACCCGCGTCCTCCATGCCCTCGCATTGCGCCTTCCGCGACGATGCGATCACTTTTTCGCGGGGCGGACTGAGCCTCAGCCCCAGCCAGCCTAAGCCATCCACGCCTGAGCCTTAGCCTAAGCCAGCTCCGCCTAAGCCTCAGCTTAACCTAGGCCTTGCCTAAGCCCAGCCTGAGCCCCAGCCTCAGCCTAAGCCGCAGCCTAGCCCACACCTCAGCATAAGCATAGCCTAAACCTCGCTAGAACCTCGGCCTAAGCCTTGGCGTAAGCCTCAGCCTAAGCCTAGCCGAAGACTATCCTAAGCCTCAGTCTAAGCCTCAGCCTCAACCTAACATGAACCCCAGCCGAAGCCGAAACCGAAGCCTCAACCAAAGCCTAGCCTGAGCCTCAGCCCTGTGTTTGCTGTACTAGGGTATCACTATCACCACATTACTATAACACTACTACTACTACTACTACTACTACTACTACTACTACTACTACTACTACTACTACTACTACTACTACTACTACGACTACTACTACTACTACTACTACTACTACTACTACTACTACTACTACTACTACTACTACTACTACTACTACTACTACTACACTATTTAAGTACGACTGCTCCTGCGACCCGATCGGTACTACTATTATTACTACGGCTACGACTACGACTACGACTACGACTACGACTACGATTACGACTACTACTACTACTACTACTACTACTACTACTACTACTACTACTATTACTAGAGTGCGATTGTACTAGAGTGCTGCTGCAGTACAATATGGTATTACCCGTACAGCCGCCACTACAGCGTTACCACTACTACTGTGCCAGAGCACTACTACGACTGCAATAATATCCACTGGATACTCCAATGGTAGAGTTTCACTATTACTACTGCCAGTATTAGACTATACACTACTAGAGTGCCACGAGTGCAGTACTTCTGCTAGAGTACTGTACTACGGCATTCGTAATACCTCAACTACAGCACTTCAGGACGAGAGCACAACAACAGTGCTGCGATACTACGGCAATACCAGAACACCACAACAGCACTGGAGCACTACGACAGTGCTAGAGTATTCCTACTACAGTATTGCAGCACACGCACTGCAAGCAGTCGTAGAGTAGTATGGTAACGAAGACTGTACAAGAGCACTGCTTCTACAGCGCCACTACTGCAATAGTACAGCACGGCTCCACAATAGCACAACATTCTTCCTACAACACCACCGCTAAAGCATTACAGTTGAAGGGTACTAGCACGGTACTGGAATACTACAGTAGTGAATTACTATTGCACTACAGCAGTGCGAGTACTAAAGCAAGTACTAGAATCTGATCTTTACTGCGAGACCTGAGTACTACCATTACAGCTACAAGGCTACTGCAGCGCTGCCACTTCATTAATGCAATTCTACTACTGGCTTAGCACAGTGTCAGAGTATCACTGGTCCAGCACTAGAGTACCACTACTGCAGTACTACTGCGAGAGTACTGTACTAGGACTAGTTCGGTGTCAACACTACAGCACTACAAAATACTGCAACAGTGCTGATATACTACGGCATTCGAATATTCCTACGACAGTACTGCAGCACACTCACTGCAGGGAGTAGTAGAGTGCTGCTCTACGAAGGCACTACTAGAGGACGGCATCTACAGTGCCATTACAATGGCACAGAACGGCTCCACAATAGCACAGCATTCTCCAAACATCACTACCACTGAAGCCCTACAGTTCGAGAAGACTACAGTAGGGGACTACTTCAACGACAATACTACAGCATCTACAGTGCCATTACAATGGCACAGAACGGCTCCACAATAGCACAGCATTCTCCAAACATCACTACCACTGAAGCCCTACAGTTCGAGAAGACTACAGTAGGGGACTACTTCAACGACAATACTACAGTGCGACTACTAAAGCAAGTACTAGAGTATGATCTTTACTGCGAGACCTGAGTACTACTACTCCGATTACAACTACAGGGCTATTACAGTGCTGCCACTTCGTTAGTGCAGTGATGCTACTGGCTTAGCACGGTATCTGAGTACCATTGGTTCAGTATTAGGGTACCACTACGGCAGTACTACTGCTAGAGTACTGTACACGACTATTTCAACGCCACCACTACAACACTACAGTACTAGAGTACTACAACAGTGCTGATGTACTACGGCATTTGAATAGTGCTACTACAGTTGTATAATCACTGCAGACAATACTACTCGTACGGGTAAGTTATCAAAGTGATGCTTCGACAGTACCACTACTGCAGTAGTACGGCACAGCCCCACAATACTGCAGCACTCTTCTTGCAGACTACGACTCAAGCACTATAGTTCATTCGGAATCCAGAGTCGTGGACTTTTACAATGGAGACCCACGCCAAGAAGCACCCTGCTTGTCTCCGGGGTGCCTTGGGTTTCTTGATGGTTTCGATGGTTCTGCTATGGAAAGCGTGACGTTTCCGTCCCCCCCCCAAAAAAAACTGGACGTCCTGGGGTCTCAGGGTTGGGTTTCTTGTGGAAGGTTTCTCGCGGTCGGGCCCTACTGCTTTGGATGCCATGACAGTGGACACTCTAACAATCCCATCATTGAATTAAAGATGTGTTTGAAATGTGAAAAACAAGTTCTAAAAGTGTTTCAAACATGTTTTCACCGATTTAAACATGTTCGAAGCATATGTTAGACATCTGGAAACTATTTGGCAGCCTGCTTCCTCTCCATTGATCGACTTCCACAACCCTACTGTACGCATGTTCCTGCTCCGCCCTCTCGTAGAGTTCTGGCGTGAGCAGGAGCGTGGACAAGATTCAGCGGCGAAATCCAAATTTCC